CCTATGCCGTCCCCGAAGCATGAAACAAAATGCTGCCACGATGACGGGGTTCAGTGTGCCCAAGAATGCTTGAAAGACAGAAACAGTTCTGCACGAGAGCAAAGGCCAAAGGTAGAAATCTGTTCGCAAAATTGCTGAGCCTATGCGCAGGGACCCTGCAGTCGTTCGGGCTGGGTCAGCAACCAAAGTCTGACCCTCTACGACAGGACCCATCCTGAAGAAACCCTCCTCAATGGATTGAGTATCTCTTAGGTAGTAGTTGGTGAAGATGTTCTGCATTCTCCAGAAGCCTGCCCTCAGTATGTGTTCGAGGGGAGCGTCTGATGCCAGCGCTAGTGAATTAGCAATCGCTCGGACCTCATGCGCTCGTACTTGGTGTCTTTGCAAGTTCTGTGTTGAGGAACTATAGGCTTCTAACACAGTCGCAGCAATCCATCGGGCGATGGAAGTCGGGGAGGCTGGCCTGTCTTGCTTGCCTTGGCCGTAACACAAAAACATGTGCTTGGCACCCAGTCTCAAATCCCGAGTACAGTTTTCGTAGCAACTCAGTGCTTGAACCGGGCCGAGAAGCAATTCTTCCTGACCCTCCGGGCTGACAATGTTTGACAGTCGGGGGAGACTACTGAGAGCCTTTATGTGTGTAAGTGAAACACTGCTGGGCTCGTTGGTAGTGCGCCGTCTGGTTGGGACAGCAGGTCTGGTAAGCCCGAAAGCACTACTGGTGCTTCGACTAGCATTTTCAACAGAAGTGGAAACCAGGCCTTGGTTGGCCAATTGGGTGCGACCAGTGTCAATATGCGGGTGTGAACCTGTCACAGTTTTCTGCGGTACCCAGTGAACTAGTGGGAAGGAAGGAAAGGCGTACACATCTATGTGGGTCCAAGGGATCAACAAGGTGTCCATGGCTCAGGCTCCTGGAGTCGGCAAGAGTGTTACGTACGTCGGGAGCTTGGTGTTCCAGGGTGTGGCAAACAGGTCCATCTTTGGACCGTCCCACAACCAAAACAGCCTGGAGGCTACCCACTAGGGTATCTGCCACTCTGTGTTATGGAGGCGGAGCCGCCTTGAAAGGCGTCTGCCAGACTGTTCCTTACCACTGGATTGTATTCCAGGCACCAAAGAAGAATAGCTAGCACTGACAACGAAGGGGAACGCATCCCCCACTCCTTGTTGATGTAGGAGACCAGCGTTGTGTTGTCTGTGCGGAGGACTCTGTGGTCTTCAACTACGGGTAGAAAGTGTGGTAGTGCTAAGTGCACTACTTTCAGTTCGAGCCAGTTGATATGGCGTTCCCGAAACCATTGCGGGGGCCATATACTTTGGGGTTATTCGTCCAATAGATGCGCTCCCAAGGAAGGCATCTGTTACCAGAGTCATAGCTGTGGCGAGTGAGTCCAAGGAGACCCCCTGCCTGAGGTAGGCCATTGACAACCACCAGGGCAGGGCTTCCTTCACTTAGTCCGAGGGAAAACTTGCCTGTCCAGTTTCCGTAGGTGTGCTTGGTGTTGTAGCAAACATGTGTTGCACTGGGCGGCTGCGTAATGCAGCCTGGGGAACTACCCTTTGTACCGAGGTCATCATTCCAATGACCAGCATGAGTTCTCGGAGGAACACTGAAGGCACGCTGGATTCACAGTGGATGGAGAGAAGAACTCTGCATGGCATCTCCATGCGGAACCGATTGAGGAGCACATACTGATTAAGTCTGTCTAGACACCCACCACCTGT